TGGAAAAGAAAATGGAAACTACTATATAGTAGATTGGGGTTATATAGGGATAATGGAAAAGAGAATGGAAACTACAGTATTATATGTGCATGTCCGACCCTCACCACAGGGCTTAGGGTTTAGGGCATACTGTAGGGCTTAGGATCACAAATGCAGCTCATTTTGAGAATAAGGTTTGTATAGTCCCGGGGGGTCTGGGGCTTTGCATGAAAAGCCTCCGCACGAACGAATTAAAAAGACATTGGTATGTTCAGGATGAACATGATTCCACTCCCCGTGTTAAACCTCCGGGGTCTAGGGATCGTAAACCCTTTGAAACCTTTAAACCCTTACCTGTAACATGTGGTAGTTTCCCAAAATAGGGGGACCCCAATATAGACTCCAAAATATTATAGTCCTTATTATAGGGACCCCCAAAATTGTACACCTAATTTTGGGAAACCTCTATGTAAGTAGTGACGCTACTTCAGGAGCCCTGGACGGAGAAGGATAGTGCGGCCGTCTTGGAGGCCCAAGCGATTTGTTAAAGGAGCGTATGGGGGATCTTCGCTGAAGATTCCATGAGGGACAGGTGATGCTGATTTGTGTTGCAAGAATTTTTACAAGCACTGCTTGCTTGGGATCCTACTATATCTGGGAAGAAACGATGACCTTTGTAGGCTTGTGGAGCCACATACCTACGACGATTACCAGGCTGTGGTAAGAACGACCATCAATAACATTACGGACAGGAAGAAGTGCAGTACATCGTGTAGATGGGGAAGGATGCAGTAGTACCACGTGCAGCATTGCAAGAAAGTGAACAGGCCGTTGCCCATGGAAATGTGGCAAGAAAAAGTACTAACACTGCAAATCTAGTGGTTATTCGCAGTATTCATTAGGGGGATTGTCAAATTGTGGTTCCTTTTTGGGTCCCTATTTTAAAACGGGGCCTAATTTAGGGGACCCCAAAAGGGACCATAATTTTGACAATCCCCCATTAGGATTTCGCCAGTTCACACTGGTAACCAAGCCACTGCTTAAAGATGTTTCTAGGAAGGTGGGGATCCGAAACACATGGGAGTGGCCTTTTTGGGTCCCACATGAGGGTTTGGGTTCCTTAAAAAATAAGCGTACCTTTTTGGGGTCCCTATAATTAATAAGGATGATCGTATATTGGGGTTTATATTAGGTTCCCTTATTTTGGGAAACTACCAACTAAGGTATCCGGGGGTTCACATTTGGGCACTCTATTAATGGAATCTACCAGGTCATGCAGGCGCTCCCGCAACTATTGTTCAAAGCGGACGCGGTCATTCACGTCAACAGTTCGATCACAAAGCTGGTCATGGGTGAGGGAGCAGCCCGGCCGCAGGATGCCAAGTTGGGGCAGACAGTTGAAGGCCACAGCTGCCCAACCGCCTAAAACATAAACCGCTGGAACGCTGCATATCCAGCATATTATGGTATAAGTGCTTCATAATACATCACAATACACTATAGTATATTGCAGTATACTACAGTATATTCCCTTCATACGCCTTGCTCGCATGTGCGCCCTGTACATCTTGGTACACGTGCAACCCATCAAAGCCGAGGAGAAGTTCAGCACAACGCTGAAGGACATCCTTTGCTTCAGCAGGTTTAGGGCTTATAGTCCCCCTTAAGTAGATAGAATATGGGGTATATGGGGATCGTTATACTTTACCCAAAGCCATATTCTATCTACTTAAGTGGGACTATAAGGTTTAGGAGTCTTGCGCATCGTGCCTTGGGCAAAGTACGTACAATGAGCACCTAACCTGACTCCAAATGGTGGCTTCGGCCGAGAAACTCCAAAAGTAGCCTTAACCCACCCAAAAAAACATCAACAAAAAACAACTAGCCTTATTTCAGGCTTTGGGGATCATGTAATTTATCCAGCTCGCCCCTGAGAGGAGCTGCAGAAGAACTGCAAGCTCCGGCAAGTGGGAAATGTTGTGCAGGCCAAGGGGCCGGCAGCAACTGGATTGTTGTAAAGGAACTTAAGTTAAGATAGGCATATAGGGACAATTAGGGGGTGTATAGGTGTAGGGTCTAAGGTAGCATATTATGGGTATATAGCAATTAGCAGGGTTTACCCATCATAGTAACTTAGATTAAGGTCCCTAACTTGAATTCTGCTTTGCTTTACGCGATTGGTGGGGCAAAGTTGCGCTTTGAGGGCCAAGGCGCCCTGTCAAACCTCAGGTCCTTAACAGCAACACCATCATAGTAACTTTCATGAAGTTCCTTAACAGCAACCCAGGCGCATGTCAGAGATTCCTGTGCTTGGCCTTCGTGGAGCAAGCGTAGGGCTTTCATGTCATGTCGTATGGCTGTTTCCAAACATGAGGGCGCCCCTATGTCTCCACGAAGATAGTCTAATCATCTGAAGCGGACTCTAGCGTCTCATGTAAGGACCCTCCAGGACCCCCCATTTCCGGACTCCCCACTGTTACTCCATGTTCGCAGGTCTTCGAGGAGTTTGCACAGGTGGACAACAATTTTAGCAGCGGCTCTCCGTACAGCGCGGGGCTCAAGCAATCCTTATGGTTTTGGGCTTTGGGATTGTCGAAAGATTACCCGTAAAGAATCCTTCAGGGGCACCCCAAGAATCACTCGGTAGCCCCTGTGTGCACAATGAATGGGGCCATGTGAGAACCCAGATGACAACGCTTTGCAAGAAGTGCTTTGCCAATTTTGATTTCAACTCCCGAACTAGTATGCGAGGCAGCTTCTGACCTTCCATAATGATCACGTAGCGTTCATATGAACATTGAATATGCACAATGAGTACATGGTCCCGAGTCTGTTGCAGCACCATAGGTGAATCTCCTCTCGCTGGGCCTGAAATTGAACGCGTCAAGATGGAAACCCATGTAACCCATGTACATGTCGAAAACCCATGCAGACCCCCAAAAGCATATGAGCTGTAGTCTAAACTCCTTAAAGGGAGGCTTTTTCGGGGATCATATAGGGGACTATGATCGGGATTGGTAAGGGGGAAACTAGGACTTTAAACTACAGCTCATATAGGCCCTATTTGCATGAACATTGGTTTAGAGGCCTGCTCTTGGGCCTCCATGTTAGCCAGATCAGGTTGGGGGAGAGGTTTAGAGTTTTTGGGTTCAATCCTCAGACCCGAAAATATTTAGCCGATCTTGACTAAAACCACTGGGCTTTAGGGTTGTATAGGGGGTTATATAGGAGCAATGGAAAATACAACGGAAACTACTATAATGGGGTTATGTATGATCCCTGGTCCCCCAAGCCCAGCCCTCAATCCCAAGCCCATTTTTTAGACGGGTCCACAGGCATTAAGCTCCAACCCTACACGACAAACCATACAAACCTCAAGCCCACAGGTATTGCGTCGCCTGGGTCCCCGCCGGACTTGGTGTTTCCGGACCGTGCCAGACAACCGCGATGCTTCGATCAGTGCCACGGCGCACAGTGGGCGGAACAGCTAGGAAGCCCACTAGGCTTTTAGGGTTTAGGGTTTCAAGCAGGAAAAGGGTACCTTGCTGTAAACTGATTATTCGGCTACCAAGACAGAGTAGCGACGTTTACTTTCCGGTTGTTGGTGGGAAAATAGAAAAGACAATGGAAGCTGCTGTAGGGATAGCCTGTAGGCATAGTGTAGAGAACCCAGGAACGGATCACGGGTCCTTGCTTTTGTAGTTTCCATTTTCCATTCCTTCGTTCAGCAAGTTTAGCTTGAGCTTCTAGTTTATCTATGGTTACAAGTAACAAGTAGGACCAAACCCCATAGCCATGGAATATCACGTAGCCTGTTGAAGTCCGTGTTGTGGAGAACGCTAGAGCATGCTTCGCTACATATACCATGCTGCATGTTTTAAACTTCACAACTGAAATTCATGTTAACTGCCATAAGCATAGGAGTAAGCAATCCCTCCCCCTAATAGCACAAATCCATCCCCCTATTGTGTGTTGACTGCATCCCACTTCCTCCCTGGCAAGCACCCAGCATGCATGAGGGACCAGCGGTGGCATGGGATTAATTGTCTCCACCTAGTTAAGGCCTGATAACAGACCCGGCCCAAACCCCTTCATGACGGTTTTTCATCATGACATATCATGACACATGTGTGGTAGTATACCGGGGTTCCTATCAGCTTGTTGTTTTCTTGTACGTAGGGGGCGATGGCTACACGAGCATCCCGTTTGAGTTATGTTGAAAATCTTTTTCCAACAGCTGAGAGCCAAGGGTGTACAAACCTAAGCCCAAACTCTAAACCCTAAGCCCGAAACCCTGGAGTGGAGCCTTGTGCAGTGGCAAAACCCTAACCCAAACCCTGAAGCCGAGGGTGTACACAATTTCCAATCGCCGCGTGAAATGTCTGGATGACGTGCCCGATGAGAGCCTTGGCCAGCCGGGAGGTCGGGGTTTAGGGCTTACGGTCTATAGGGCTTAGGGTTCAGGG